GAGGCTGATGGGGGCTCAAACTTGAATTAAGCAGGAAATTTTATTCTGTCCCAAAAAGGCATCTGTCTTCATAAAATCACTGTGAACACTAATATAAAAGTGAATGAATACACTCAGTTGGCAGTTTAGTTTAACAAAAACTGATGCAGTCATGCAACAGTCCTGTAATAAAATCGTCTGACAAGAAAGCTGCAGTATGTAACTTAAGGTAGCGTAGCATGAAACTCCAAATCAGTCCACTCTGCTTCACGCAGCACTCCCTCTCCCTGCTCCGTTACGACCTGCTACACTCCGCCACGCTCTGCCCGGCTCTTCGGACGACCTGCTACACTCCGCCACGCTCTGCCAGGCTCTTCGGACGTTTGTTGTTATGAAATTACAATAAATGAGAATGCAACAAAACCTAGTGATCAAGCAGAAATAAGAGAAAATCTCCAATTGGCTGGAGAGGTTGATCTCACTCAAACCTTTAGAAGCTAATGTTTCTGCTGCCAGTGATGTTCAATGAGTCTGGATCACAGGAAGCTTGGACAGCACCCCTCCACATTAAGACAAAGCAGATTTCTACAACAAAAATATTTGAAAAGAAGTTGCATACTGTAGCTTTAAATCATGTTCTGTTTAAATCATGACCACTGTCAGCTTTTGTTCCAATGCAATGCATTTCAAACAGCACAAACTGTTCCAAAATGGCCATACAGTTGAATCGACACCTCCAACAAACTGATCATTATTGCCTTTATAAAGGAGGCTTTGACAGGACTGACTTAGTTTTAGCTAAGTGTATTAATAAACTGAGTGTACTGTATTTCATAATGAGACATTTCTGAGATGGCACCATTAGCAATATGCTTTAGTGCATGTTCTCCTGTTGCTGTTTTCCATGTGGAGTTTTTGTTGAAGTATACAGTGGGGCAAATAAGTATTTCATAAACACCGCCGATTTTTCACATGGGCCCATCTTCGTTTTCAGTTCTGATCCGATTCCGATACACAACTGCTGATTCCAATACAGATTTTCTGATACAAGAGCTCTTTCATTGCAAATAAAATAATCAACATTAATAAACAAAATATTAAATATGAGCAATGATGGATAAGTGCAACCACTAGATGGTCAGAGGCCAAGGACACGCACACATTTCTCCAAATGATTACACACTTGCAAATCTCCATTTGTGGGCTAGAACCTTTGGTATTGCAAGATTTCACATTAACCATTTACAATGTAGCCATCCCTTTATTATTAATTAAAAACATGTCTCACCTGTCTTTGTATCGAGGGTCCAGTAAAGTGCAACTGAATAGACGGGATGACCTTCGATGCTGCTCACATCCGAGGTCCAAAGCTCACGGCCATAACATCTTCTAATTTTAGTCAAACCAACAGCTAATGTTATTTACTCACTTGGTTACAGACTGAAGTTGCTGCTGGTTTATGGCAAGATGTGGAATGGAATCTGGATCAGTGACATGTCTCCATCCATCTGTACCGCTTATCCTAACAAGGGTCACGGGGGGACTGGAGCCAAACCCAACTGACACTGGGCGGGGTCCACCCAGGACAGGTCACCAGTCACAGGGCTGACACTTAGACAGAGAACCATACACACACTCCTAGGGGAAATGCAGGGTCACCAATCAACCTAAGCTGCATGGCTCTGGACTGTGGGAGGAAGCTGGAGTACCCGGAGTGAACCCACGCAGGCACAGAGAGAACAAGTAAACTCCACACAGAAAGGCACCGGGTCAGCCCGGGCTCGAACCAGGAACCTTCTTGCTGTGAGCTGACAGTGCTAATCACTGCGCCACCATGCTGCCGGTGATGTGTCTCATGTTACGTTACGTTACGTTAGGTTACAGCAGGTTCATGGTCCAGCGCAAGCATCGGACTGGGATATGAATCAGTAAGTGCATTGGCCCTGTCCATCCGATATCCGATGAGTGAATGACGTCAATATCAGACCCAATAACGATATAAGATTGGATCGGGCCCATCCCTAAAAAAACCCACATGGGAAAGCTAATCAGTCCGATCAGTGTTATTATTTACTGGCTGAAGCAGCTAGAGAGGGTCATGAGGTGAGAGCTGTAGGAGGAGGGCAGCAACCTACATGCTGCTGCTGTGGGACAGCTAGTGCAGAAGGGACAGGTCACTTGAACAATACAACAGCATTATAGCACTGCTATAGCTAATTTCCAACAAAAAAATGTGCCACAAGTATAATCCAGTTCTTTGGGAAACACTGGTTGTATCAAACAATCATATTTCCCCAACCATACTACATTTTATAATACCGATTTATATGTCAAATATTTCGGTGCAGTGTTGTAGGCGACAAGATAGTTATTCAAGTAATATAAGGTTAGATTTTGTGATTTACACATACACCTCAATAACTGAAAAATGCAATGAAAAAAATTCTTTTACACTGTGAAAACAGTCTTTGGCACATATTTCTTCAAAACACAAATGAATCTTTCTGAATTTTTGCAGGAGACCATGGCTAGCAACTGTGGTAATGTGACTGGACGCACACACTGCTTGACCTCATGTAACTACATGAAAAGTCTGTTTAACATTTTGCCCCATGTTACCCGCACTCCCCTATTTTAAGAATACACAATTTTTTGGATAATCGTTAGTCAATCAGTGAATGGAAATGTAAAATATCTAAATATAATAAACAAAATATCTAAATAAAATCACCACCTTGTTGAACTGAACTGAATTAAATACCAAGAAAACATCTTACAGGCCTGACTGTATAAGGAACTTCCACAAGTTTAACTTGCGCAGCCAGTCGGCAGATCCTGCTCTTAGTGACAATGATGAAGAAAAGTAAACATTAAAAAGTGTAGTTACATTTCACTAGAGTGAATGTTGACAATGCTCCTTACCAAGAGTTCAACATTTAGCATGGAAAAGTGGAAAAACGAACAGTCTGTTGAAACATCTAGCTAAAGTCCATCACATACAGGTGGACAAAAAGCACGGTCTTCTACTGCCTAGCATGTACTTTATCTCCGGTTGTTCCAAGTACAGAATGTCATGTAAGCCAGCAGGGCCCACTAAAACCTCTTTCAGACATGGCACCTATGAATTTGCAGGCTACATGTAGCCTAGTAGTGCAATAGATACTTTTTTAGCATTCAGACATGGAGTTGTTGTCCACAAAATTCCCAGCAAGGGATTTTTCGCACATAGCACGACCTAGCCCGGTACAGCCACAATGTTTGCACAAGATCCAGCATCGTGCGAGACAGAGAAAAAAAGCAACACCAAAATTTACAACTAAAATACGAAGCAAATTGTTGTCCATAGCAACATTGGATCTGACAGTGAGGATTAACTTATGCTGCTGTATCTTCTCTGTACCAGTTCAAAATAAAATCTGCACCAAGTTTAGTTTAAATGTCACATATTACTCAACATTAAATGGTGTCTGCATGTATATCTTATGTAGCACTATTGTAATCTTGAGCGTGCTACTGGCAATGGCAATTTGACCACATCACTTCAGACATGTAGATGCTTAGAAAACAGACTGTTATTTGATACGATCTGACCTGGTAAAATTGCTGATAACACTTTGCCAATTACATAACTTGCCGTTTTGTTCATACATGATGCTTAGATGTGAAATAGCAAGAAAATGTCTGGGTAGGGGTGGGTGTCTAAAAGGGGCTTAAATCATACAAACAAGGGGTAGTGATTCAAAGCAACCAGTGGCCAGATGATTGTTATGGGTGCATTCGTGCATTCAGTCTGAAATGGTCAGAGCATCATCTGAACTGCTGTTATAAAATTCACAGTTTCAGAACATGGGTGTATTTAGTGATCTGGGTGCTTGAGGCAAACTGCTGTACATTAAAATACTGTTTAAAAAATCTACCAGTGGTCTACGTTTCTATTTTCTGAGAGCCTGTGAATGCATCATTTTATGCTCATATGGTAAGCATGGATGCCTGTAACATGTCACTTATCACAATGAAAACTACAGAGGCAAAGCTACATGCAGTTCATAATTATTTGTAATTACACAGCCAACTTTTCAAACACACACACCTTTCCCCAGGCTAATGGTACATAATCTGTCACATGAAGCATTAGAAAACAACCCAGATTTCTGCCTGTGCAGTACACTAAACTGTGCTGTCACGTCTAGACGTACAACCTTAAGGTCTCAGATGAACAGTGAAAGGCGCTTACTATTTTGCATGACAGATTTATCGAAAGCGAAAGTAATGGTCAATTCATAAACAGTGAGCGGGCTTTTATCATATTCTGGTAGGGTGCCCTAGGATATGGGGGGAAACATTAAGTTGGGCCCTTAACCCAACTCCCTCAAGTCTTGTAAAAGCTAGCGTGCTATTCTCTGGACTGACAGAACCTGGACCGAATTGTCTATCAGTTTACACTTTTCACGGTTTTTGTTAAAATTAGCCAATTGTAACAACAACTTCTGAGTAGATTTTTGAATTGTTACGAGCCAGACTTCAATTCGGCGTGGATAAAACACAACACCCGCGTAATAAAATGTTAAAAACGTTTACTGAATTGTCCGTTTTTCCTGCAACACATTCCGACAAAATACACCAAGGTGGCATGAGGAAAAAGTGCAAACCAATTATGAAGTTCAGATAGTACAGCAATAAAGTTCTGCTTGGTGGATAAAATGTACTCCGAAATGTCAAAAAAGCTCGAATAATTCTGAAAATGTCTAAATCATAATAATCCGAGTGTGAAACGTCAGCCGATTAGCAAGGCAGCACTGAACTGCACCTTTTTTAAACGTAGTTCGGACAACACTATTACCTACCGCGGGGAACATAAAAACACATTGGTGGCTACGTAAAAGCGTGAACATAAATGTGCACATGTAGCTTCGGAAGCGCAATGTACAGCCACCCAGCTGCCATACTGTCAGTCACCCAGTTTGTGGAGAGGCTGTCATCGGATTGACCGTTGGCAAAAAATACACTAAAATGTTACTTACCGCATATACAAGACGAAGCTCGTATCCGCATATTATTTGGAGTCCCGGTGCTTGCGCATTCCTCCTCCACTGGAATCGGTGTTGATCTCCGCTGGCTATTTGAACGGGACTCCAGCGCCAGCGTTTATCCTGAAATGACCCGCGCTGGTGCAAATCAAGCGAGTGCTACGCGTCTGTGTCTGTATGTGGCTGTTTGTCAGATGGGTTAGCGGCGTGTGAGGCTACAAGAAGCTGTGCCCCGGACGCAAAAAAAACTTCAACATGGAGCCTAAATCAAACATTGGAGAACGACACACGGACGAAAATGACAATTGCAGCGCTCACACCGATCGCTACGGGGACCCAGAGAGCCGAGTCATGGGCAGGAACCGAACAAAATAAGCCTCGCCCTTATTGCGAACTCACTGGGGTTTTTTTCCTTCGATGGCGGTTGGTTGCTTTATAATAGGCCTGGTACAGGACAGGAAACGTAGGCTACTGCTTCAACTTGTGTGTAATAATACATCCACAGTGTCTTCAACGAAACCAGAGATTATCATCATCATCATTATTATTATTATTAAATGCTAAGCACAAGAATGGGTCACTAAACTGTCTGTTGGGAACACTGAATGCTCTACAATACTGTTCTTGTAAGTAAATAACTAGGTCATTTTTGATCTTCTGCAATGAAAAACTAATGTTAAGTGACGTGTTTTTCTTAAAGGTGTAGCATAAATCTATTAACTTTGCCTAATATACAGTAAGCATCAATGTCCCAGCAACCTAATTAAACTGTCACTTATTGCCTTCTCCAAATTCCTACTGCAGTTTGTAGTGAACTGGCTCTAAACTCTTTGCAGGATGACAGCTTGCAGGTAAATTATTAGTGGAAGATTTCAAAGTCTTTTGGCAGCGAATTGTGAACGTTCCTGTCATGCATACAGTACTGTGGATGGCACTGATCACATGATGTGTGTCTGTTCACCTTTGCTTTTGTGTATTATATGTTTAACTTGGATGTTATCCAAGTTTGCTAAAGAGCAGTAGGTTGGCTGCTTTGATACAGAGTAGATTCTGATAATAACGTGACACTACTACTGCAGATTATCTACCCCTGTAAGACATTTCAACACCAACACATATATAACATCAATGTGCAGCTGTGGATTAGTAAAATGCAAATGAAGGCAGAAGGCTGCAATCTCAAAATGTTTGTGTTTTATGTTTACTAAGTACAGAGTATTCCAGGAGTGAGTCTGTGATCAAATCAACCTTGTTTCTCTATAGGGCTTGAAGAGAATGTGCAAGAACATTTAGTATTTGAATAAGGTTGTGCATGGTCCATAAAGAGCTTTTTTGATGTTCTATGATTTTTAATGTGTTTTCATGATTAATATATGTTGTATGTCATTTTTTTGTTGACGAATGCCACTTGATTCTACCTCTGGGTATCAATAAATGTAACCTGCACCTGATGTCTTCTTGTTTAAATGACATCAGAAGCTACTGAGGCTACTGTTAGAACAAAATGTTGTCTTCCACCTTGTATTCTTCCCTGTCAGTGCATATCTGAGTCACAGAATACATATTTGCTTATTGATTATTAGGAACTAACACCAAAGCTTAATTTGACTGTTAATTTTTTGTAGCTGACACGGTCCCTGCTGTCAAACATCACAGCTATATGTATGCACGCAGATTAAAAAAAAAAAATGCAGAACCTGTTTGCATCAAGTCTGTTTGTTCAAGTCTGATCAAAGCACTTTCAAGACCACATGAATGTAATTGGGCAAATGAGTTCAAATTGCTGTTCACAAGCATATGCAGGGTTTTTCTACAACAGAAGATGTTATCAGGCTACTATAGACACAATGTTGTTGTTTTTTTTATAATTAAAACATTTAAAAAAAAATTTAAACCACCATCAACAAAGTGTAGAGTTTTTAATTACCTGGCTAAATATTTAATCAAACTAAGCCTTTATTGAAATATCGGCTTCCTACATCTACAGATTTTTCAAACTGGTTACTCTGATATCACCAGTCGCTTATGGTCTTAGTTTCACTTTCTGAAGTGAAGTGTCTTGAGAGCTCGTTCTGCAGCACTTGAGACTAACGGTGAAGCACTCTCTCTGTTTCCATCCCAGCCAACATAAGCATTCATATACTGTATCTACTCACTACAACTTGTTCCTGCTAGAAAGCCCTTGAAGCATGGTAAGAACCATTTAGTTGACCTAGCATCATCAATCACAGGTAGAGTGGAGTTATAATTACACAGGCCCTCATCTTGAAATGTTAGCTTACATAACCTAGATAACTTTAGAGTGCCATTCCTTTTTTTTACAGCCTGTTCTCTTTTCTCAGCCTGAAAACCCTTCACTGACAAAAACCACCAGATCAGCCATCAGCAGGTTTTACAGGGTATCATGTGAAACTGCCCCAGTTGCTCCTCATTGCTTTGTCAGCTCGGCATAAATGAAATTATGAAGGTAGGAACTGGTATTTAGCTGAAACTTGTTGTTATCCAAAGACAGGACATGCAAATGATTTACTGTTATCAGACCACGCTCAGGTAATTCATGGAGTCTGTTCACTATAGCTGTTATGTACTCCATCCCGACGCAGCTGAAGGTGCTTCCACACAACCAGTGTCAAAATGCTCAAATACACTGTCAAAGTCCATGAAGAGACAGTTGAGGGACAAGTAAGATGAAATGATGCACTGCGTGTAGTACAGAACTATTACTCAAAATGTACCATGAGCTGCAATGCTCAAAATTTTATTTATTTTCAACACTCCTCAAACAGAGACTAAAACCACCAATGAACTGCCTCTACTCACGGTTAATGTCTGTCAGTCCTGTATCAGCTTGTTCATCTGTGCCATAGAGCTCTGTTGTTGTTCAAAAATGATTAAATCACATCAGTGAAGCACATTGCTGGACTTAGTGACATATTTACTCATTAAGAAACACCAGACCCTGATATTTATTACTCATATCCAGAGATCTCATTAATGGGCCCTTGACTATTGCGTACCTCAGTTGCTGTAAAAGGTTATGGTCATTCAGAGCCTTTGGGGCAAAAAAAACTTTTTAAACCTTTGGGTTTAAAAAACCTATTAACTCAGTATCAATTCACAATTAACTCTGGGGGTATAGAATGTTCTGGGTAATGTTTCTAAATTAGCAAACCCTGGCCTGAGCATGATGAGCTAGCAGAGTGTAAACAAAACAGAGAGCTCAAGCAAGATCTCGCACATGCACAGTTGACTCTGACTCTGCAAACCGCAAGATATTATGATTGGAGCCTTTAGGACAACATAGTAGGGTCTGGGGTTTTGTAACAAAAAACGTGTCACCCAGTGCAGCAGCATGTTTTCCTGATGTGCTTTTAATTGTTTTTGAACAACAACGAAGATGTGTGGCACAGACAAACAAGCTAATCCATGACTGAGAACTGACATTAACCTTGAGTAGAGGCAATTGGTTTTAGTCTCTGTATGGAGCTTGCTGAAAATAGCCATCCCTGGTAGGCTAATGGTTAAGGCACTACAGCCCGGGTTCAAATCAGGGTTGCCTCGGGAAGGGCATTCGGTGTAAAACACCTGCCAAATATTGCTGTGGCAACCCGTAAATGGGAAAAGCCAAAAATGGCTTTCTATGGACATTGCTAAAAAGTCTATTAATATAAAAAATAACAATCCTTATCCTTTTTAACACAGAGGCATACTAGATGGTTTAGTGTAAGTATAGCTAAAATGCAAATGTTAACTTGAGCCTTTAAGGCCTTGAACTAGAAACCTGACCACTGCACTACACCAAGACTTTGTCACCCATGAAATGGACTAAATCTTTGAGACTCCTAAACTATAGCAATACAGTTCATTTTTTTTGCACTGATTTCAACACTCATTCTTTGCCCTAGGAGGCTGCTTGTGTAGCATATTTTTTTCCATGAGTATGAACAGCTGGTGGTGAGCCACATCAACAGATTTGCTCTGTAACTCCTAGACAGTCAAATATGCTTATTTACCTGCTATGTATACTGTATATGGGCTTTGAGATTTTTGTTTAACAGTACTTTTAGACTGGTGATGTGCTATCTTAATGACTGTTCTGATATCTAAGAATTTACCAGAGCAAGATCCTCTTTCTTTCTTTCCCCATTATTGCTATTGCAGAATAGTCCTGATGAGTTTTCCATTACCATCAGTTTGGACCCTAACAGTAAGTCAGTCACTGGACCTTGTAAGAAATCAACCCTGTATTGGAACCTTGTCAGTGTCCTTCTAATTTAAGTATGAACAGTTGAGTGCTGAAATATGATTACACTGCTTTAACTATTCCAAAATGATGTTGTTAGGTGGGTTTGGGGCAAATCATTTTATGAATATCATGAAAAAACTGTTGCAGAATGTGACTTGCCAAGGATCCAGTTCTGCCATTGTCTACACAGCTGCATATGTATATATTTAAACTGTACTGATGAAGCTCCTTTCACCCCTCACTTCACCTATCTGAGCTCCTAGCATCAGCTTTTTTCTTTTTACAGTCACCAGTCTGGAACTGGCTGAGAGTTCTTCACATTTGACCATGAGATAACAAGTCAGATATCAGATGTGAATGACCTTGCAAGGAAATGATGAATGGAGGACAGTCAGGGAGGCCATTATCTTCTAACACCAGAAACACAAGCAGTCAGGTGATCATACATGTTGTAAATATAGACTATTATGACCAGTGGATTGATTGTTAATGATTGTTGGCTACTTTGATAACAATGCAACATGTCAGTTATTGCAGTGATTTCTCTGTTTCTGCAAAGGTTGACCAGTATTGAACCTCATGCATGTTAAACTTGATTCCAGACCATTCACACATGAACAGACCTTTCCACACCTAGCAAAAGAAGTTGAAAAATTGCATCAGTCTGCTGTCTGTTCCCCAGATAACTGCCTCAAAGAACATTCTTCTGATTTGGGGGCTTTGTCTGAAGTGCCATCCAGCAATGTGAAAAACAAACAGTGATGCATTGGCAGCTGACCTTGCGAGCCCATCCTCTGTCTGATCCTCTCCACCTATAAATAAATTAGCTGTGTACAGCTGAGTGCGTGTGCCTTCTAGCAGCTGGAGCATTTTGTTCTGGGAGCTGTCAAGCAGCGTTATGATCAACATCAGCACGAAGCCCTCCAGTCCAGTTCACACACACATCTCAAAACCAGTTCTTTAAGAGGTCACTGATGTGCACTGAAGTAAATGGACGCTCACCAGAGTGAAAAACCAGCTCCAGGCATGGCCCTCAGTAGTTTGGTTGCTGAATCTGATTATTGTAGAGATAAGACATCTTGTGGACCAATCCTCCAAGAAAATGCACATAATACATGAAGTAATGCACTAATAGTATGATATGGTCCAACAAAGGAATAACTGGAAACACTTAAACCATGTTTCTAAGATGATGTATTTTCATATTACAGTATATTGTATTTCTACAATCATCTTATTTCAGGAGTGTTTGAGCATCCGCCTTGAAACAAACCTAATTTATCAAAACTTTCATACCCAACTTTTATGCACGAAGCTTTTAGCTTCACGTGGGCATGTGGCTGTACATGTACATGTTGCATCTCAAATTTATGCATAGGGGGGTAAAGAACGGACTATATTACAGGTACCTCATAGTATCTGATTTTTGTTAGGTGAAAACTTAAGTGTGAGTAGATCTGGTGCTACCCGTTCTGCAGCTTGACTTCTTATTGCATGGCAGAATCATGGAATTATTGTCAGTTACAGATTAAATGACTTAATTACTGTCAGTTACAGATTAAATGACTTGATGAAACTGAAATTTTGTGCAGCACAAAATCTCAGTTACAGATTAAATAACTAGATGAAACTGAAATTTTGTGCAGCACAAAATCAAACCGATGTCAGTCATATAAAACTTATTGCTGAGTGTTAGTGTAGTGTTGGATCATTAAATCGAGATGATGGTGAAAATGTGCATGTGTTTTATGTTTGCTTGTGAGTGACTAAACTCAAAACTTGGCTCAAACATTTACATTTTTCCATTTCATTTTTTTTTTTTTTGTACTGGGTGAGAGACAAACCTTTTTGCATGTCCAAGATGTAACACTATGACTTGGCTTTAGGTGGGCTTAAAGTAACAAGCATGATTAATTCTGACAGAGAAAGCTGTTTTTCAAAAACTAGTGTAAGCTTTGTTTCTCACTTTAACTTTGGTGCAAATGATGAGCTCCAGTATTCTGGGTATGACTCTGGCTGGGGGTCTTTGTTGCATGTCATCCCCATCTGTCTTTCTTCTCACTTGATTAATGCAGTATAATGCTCCTGACCTGTGGGAATAGTCAAATGGTTACAAGTTCACGAAAATGACTTCACCAGGTTTACAGCTGTTTAAGAGAAGTCTGGGCTGCCAGAGGTCAGCATCTTGAAACATCACAGACAAACAAAATGAAAAAAGAGAAATTGACATTCTAGTCTTTTGTCATCATAAGAGGGCATCCTAGATGAGAGCTGGTTGTTTTCTACTGTGATACTCATGGATGCATTACTGAATGGGCCCTCGGGGCACAGGCCTGAGGGACCAAGGGATCAGATTACCCCTGAACCAGAGCCCCTGTATGAAAAGTCAATTAACAACAAATAGACACAAAATGAGCAGAAACAAGAGAATGAAATACTTATATTTGTTACCCAAATAAATACAGCAATATAACTGTACTCCATTACAAGTAAAAGCAAAAAAATTTTAAGCATAATCAGGAAAATGGACCCAATGTCTCAGCAGTTCAAGTACTTG